ACAAACTCTGTTTTTCTTTTATAAACTGTGTTTTCATGAATGTTTGCACATGTTTTAATAGATTTCTGCATCTATTTTTCTAGGAAAATATAAAAACAACAACTATACTTTTGCACAGTATAGTGCCTGACTGAGTTTACACAAACAGTCGTAAGAGAACCTTTGCAAAGCTCGAGACCTGTATGCCAGGGTTAACCACAGAGATTTGCACGAACACAGGCTGTCTGTTTGGCACACGAGTTTAACCACAGAAGGCAAGACACTGGTTAACAGCGTTTATCAGGTAGAGCACACTGAACTGTGCACTGCAGACTACAATAAAGTAATAATCGTGTTGTTTAGAAATACGAGATCCTTGTTTGCTCGTTGTCACATCAGGATGTTGGCTCTGTGGGTTGTTCTGCTTTTATCAGGCACTGAAGGTGAAGCAGAGCTGCAGGCTAACAAGATTAATAAGAAAATAAGGTTTGAGTTCCTGTTTCTGTTCTATCTGCTCAGACCACATTTCAGCTGTGTTCTCATGGACTTCACGTGTAGCAGTGCTTTGTCACCAGGTGGGGGATTGTCATGTGACTACATATGGCGGAAAAACAACTATTTGTGGTTGACGCTGCTGAAAGGTTATTGTTATCTCCTTTGACAGCCCTCCACAGTCACTAAGCTGCAATTTACTGGCCTTTCCCTCATTAAGCCAAACCTTTACACAGAAGGAGTGGTACTAGAGAGGTTTCCTAGTTACTTATTTATGACAATCCAGGTTTTCAGACATTTAGCTCTGTGCCTGTAGCAGCTTTGGTTTGGCCGACGCACGCTGTTGACTGTTTAGTTCCTGCTATGTCAGAAGCAACTCGAATGTGTTGGCAGAGGGAAAACTAAGAACCAGTAAGAAGAAGGTGGGGCATTGAAAGTTATAAATAAATACAGTGTGGAAACTGGTTTTGAAAAACATTAGGCATGGTTTTCCAGGTTTTGCACAGTCTCTGAGGCTGTTTACACACGAACCTTCCTGTGTCCAACGAGTGTCAGGATAACAATCTGTCATGGTTCTGGGTTTTTGTAGAGTATTAGGTTTTTTATAATTTCATTTTTTTATTACTTGTTGTGTTTCTAGTTTCCCTCTGTCTTTCACATTTTGTTCAAGAGTTTTTACAAACTTTGCATTTCAAAATGCATTGGACAAAGTAAAAAAGTCTTAAATATAAGGATTGTTTTTTAGTACTTAATGAAAAATCCTTCACAGTCAGTGACTGCCTGAAATCACCAAATGCTGTGTTTCCTCCTCTTGAGATGTTCTGTTAGGCCTTTACTTCAGCCATCTTTAGCTACTGCAGGCTCTGCTGGGTTCAAGAACAGCCTGATTCTTTGCACTGAGAGACTTGGGTTACTTTGCAGCATGATTTGGGTCCTTATCCATTTTCACTTTGAAGTGATACCTGATCAGTTTTGCAGCATTTTGTCTAAATCTGAACAGAAAGTATAGCCCCGTACACTTCACATGCCATCCTGCTACTTGTACCAGCAGTCGCATAATCAATAGTCACTGATGATCGTATTTCGCTGGTGGCCATACATACACGTGCTGAGACTCTGCTGCCACCATGTCTGACAGATAATGTGACAGACTTCAGATTATAAGATGTTTGTCCTTCTTCATACCTTTCTCTTCCCATCATTCCCATCGTTTACCTTGGTTTCGTCTGTCCAAAGATTGCCTCTGGAAAAATACAAACAAGTGAATTTGTCGCAGAGTAAAATACATATTTGATCCCCAAGCAAAAGACAACTTAGCACTTGATGGACAAACCCTTGTTGGTGAGAAAACGTACAATCAAATTGATTTTAAACTTAGATGTTAGCTGTTGTGAAGGTGTTTTTCTTAGTCCACATTTCAATCACATCTTGATTGTCTGATGTGCCTCTGTTCAGAGACAAAATTGCAAAACAAGCAAGCAAACAAACAAACAAACAGGGCTTTTGTCAAACCAATTATGGAGCTAACTGTATTTCAACTGTATTTCCAGATTTGTGTCACCTTTTGCATTTTGAAGTTTTTGCATCAGTAAAGACTCAGTTTTTGGTCTTTTGGTCTGCCTCTGTGTCTTGCATTTGGGTTGAATAAAATCCACCTACTACCATGTTATCTTTTATTTGATTAATAGATACAAACATAAAAACCCATAAAGGATTTTACAGCCGTGTCACTGTATTTCTTGACTAGATGCACTGACTAAACCGATTGGTTCTTACAATCTGCTCACAGTGTTTACACTAAGCCTGGGTTACTTAGCAGCTCCGCAGCTGCAAAGTGATGGCTGCCAAATGTTTGCAAGTATTGCTGCACACATGAAAGATGTGCTCAGTCTGATAGTGATCTCATGTGAGTCACCATTAGTTGGGTCTGAAGACTGACACAAATCAGCAACTGCTATTTCCTACTGTTGTTACTAGTTCTTGTGCATCAGTTCTGACTCTGTTAAAATGCCCATTAAGAGTCTGACAGTGCTGCAAGAATCAATCCATATTGCTTAAGTAGGCTACTCTTTTCATATGTTGACTCAGTAAATGCCAGGGTGTTGTTTCATCCTATCTAATCTCAAAAAATAAATGTGTATCTCTTAAAACAGAACCATTCTTTGGGTTAAATGTTGTTGTTTTTTTTTTTACATGTAGTCTTTTCAGGCACTAGACTGTAACAGACGAATAAGCCTCCGATGATGAGAGTATAATCCGTTTTGCGGTGGTTGCATTGTCACCGAGGATGTGCATCAGCCAGCTCTCGGTGTGTGGCACAATGAGCCACAGGCAGCATTTCAGCTGACACTTCACGCCCTGCTTAATGATAAGACCACCGAGTCTGGCACCAGTGAGGTCCCCCTGACTGATCAGATAAACATGAGTTTAAAGTGGTGAAGCGAGATTTCTCACTTATAAATGAATTAATCTAAAAAAAATTAAAACGGAAACAACTAAACCCACAGAAAAGAAAGTCACAAATTCACTGGCACAGATGTTTCCTCTTTTCACCTCTTCATTCAGCTGCATCAGTTAAATCGAGTTATCGTAGGTTTGCACAGACACAGCTGAGGAACAGCTACACCACGAACTGTGCACACAATTTTAGACAGTTTTGCATACTTGATAAAATATCAGGTTAGCCATGTTGACCACTCCAACCCGCTTCCTTCTCTCTTTGGCTTGTAAAACAAAGCGAAGCTTTAATCAGCTGTTACCAGGTTGTTTTCTCATGTAGTTGCTGCAACAATCTAATCAAGCATTAGTCAGCTGCTGTAAGTTTGATAAAGAGAGGAAGCGCGATCTTTCATCTGTCCACTGAGTTCTCAAGAAGCCTTTGTAATTTCACACTGGATTCTCAACTTGTGAGCCTTGTGTGAAGAAGAACAAAAAACAAAACGTGATTACACTGAAATATTCTGCATGATATTATGTGAAACTTTCTAATGTATACACATTTGCAAGATGCACTTTTTAAAAACTTTTTATCTGTGTATAACATTCTCGAAGAATCTCGAAGCAAATTCACCCAAAGGTCAGACTGTAAAATGTTCAGAGAAACTGGGACAAACCCGAGACTCTACAGGCCTCTTTAAAAGAACATGCCAGCACTGCTCAGGTTTGCAAAGCTGCATCTGAACAAACCACAAAGCTTTGCACCAACGTCCACTGATGGAAAAGACCATGCACCATGCTTGGAAAAAAAAAACCAATCACAGCATATCAGCACAAACACCTCATACCAACTGTCAAGCACGGTGGTGGAGGAGTAATGATTTTGGCTTGTTATCCAGCAACAGGACCTGGGCACTCAGCAGTTATTGAGTTGATGATGAACTCTGTATACCAAAGTATTCTAGAGTCAAATGTGAAGCCATCTGTCTGATGGCTAAAGCTTGCCCCAAATTGTGTCATGAAAGAGCGCAATGATCCCAAGCACAGCAGCAAATCTACAACAGGATGGCAGAAAAAGAAAGGAATCAAAGTGTTGCAATGGTCCAGTCAAAGTCCAGACATCAACCTGATTGTAACACTGTGGCGGGACCTTAAGAGAACTGTGCATGAATAAACCAATGAGACATACCGATAAGTCACAGTGAAAGTAATTACTTCAAGTTATTGCTGCTAAAGGTGGCTGTACAAGCTATTAAATCATGGGTGTACTAAACTGTTCACACACCGCTTTTTGTTAAACAAATGACAACAAATATGCAACACATTGTTGTTCATCTGACATTATATTTAAAGAATTTCAGAAGGTGTGGACCAGGTGAGTTTTAAATTGGTGTCATTAGAACTGAAAGAGGGTGTACTTTCTGTTTCGCTGTACCTGTCGCAAAAGAAGAAGTACAGCAGGTAGAGGCTGGGTGTGACTTATGCAAGCATGCCTTCAAACGTGTTTGGTGTTTTCATGTGTGCAAATGGTGACATGCCCCGTGGGTTTTGTGCACCATGGTAACAAAGCCAAAAGTTGTTTTACATAATGTGTTATCTTGAAGCTAATGAGACCGAATGAATGTTCTGGATGCTCTTGTTTAGAGGTATGTGTGGTGTCCTGTATCTGCAGGGTCTGGCTGGTTTATTCAAGCAAGGGGGAAGTTGGTGTCACTAACATCTGTATTTCAAATCAACACACAGTTGTCTTTTGAATATAGACGCTGTTTCCCAACCCACAGTATCTGATTTCCTATGATACCTCTGCATTATAGGATTTTAAAGGCAGACACATTTCCCTGCTCTTGTTTTTTCCAGTCACACCGATCTCAAGCCAAACCTAAAGTCACGCATTCAGGTGCTACTTCTAAGAAGCCACTGCATGCTGAACTTTGTCCCTCCCTACATGAAAGCTTTATAATCTGCGCTGTGCAGTCCACAGTCGTGTTGGCACAGCACTGTAAAGGCAGACTTTCTTCCTGAATCACCACAGCACAATCCTCTCTTCTCAGAAAGCTTCTCTCCGCCTGAGAAGTATTCATGCTGGACACTCCCCCAGCACCACTCCTCCTCCCCTTCCTCCTCCTCCGTCTCGTCATCTACAGCACATCAAAACCATAGACTGTCGCCTCACTCCCGCATCTACGACCTCCATCGACTCATCTGCTCATCTCTCTCTCCTGTGTGATTCATCCTTCAAACAAACTGTGAGTTTCCCCCTTTTTTTCCTCCCCCCCCCCCCCCCCCACCCCACCCCAGTCTACGTGGGCTGTGGCATTTCTGCACTTTTAATTCTTGCATAATTTCTTTAGATCAAAGGTGAACAGCTCGCGATCTTAGCTGATAATCGCTGACTTTTCGCTCTCATGTAGCCAGGCAGGATTGGGACGTTTAAAGCGAGTGAAATTCCAGATGTGGAAAGTTTCCAGTTGTTGTAGTTGTTTTTTCCCCCTCTTCTTCCTGAGTCACAGCAGCCAGCGAAAGGGGCGAAAAGGAAGGAGAGAACGCGTTAGAGCTCGTGATGGGAACTATTCTTTCATACTGCTGCTGATCGTTATCGTGTGATTGAAATATGATTGAAACGGAAGCTTTAATTGGAACATAGACAGTGGTTGTTAAGAAGTTATGCAATAGTCAAAAAAGAGGAAGAAGCAGAACAGACTTCACTCTTAACACAAATGCACTTTTTAAACATGTAAATATATCAGAGGTCTGCAGCAGACAAGCACAGTTGGTGGAAGATGCTCTTCCCAGCATATGGCCCCCACCCCACCACACAGAGATGCAACATTGTGCTCATTACTGTGTTACATTAGCGTTAATATCAGTGCATCTGTTTCCAGTTCATGCACTTTATGGGGTCTGGAGGTTTTGTCCATGATGCAGCACTTATTGATCAGCCTCTTACAGGAAGTCTACTCATTTTTTTTCTTCTTCACTGAAAGCTGAGCTGCAGGCCGCTCGTTTAAGACACAGCACTGCAAACAGTAACAGCAAGTGGTGATCATGATGCGTGATTTCTTGGATTGTGTTTGTTTGGTATGATTTAAACTCTCAGTAACATTAAATATTTCAGCCTGCGTGATGAGCACAGATGAAGGGGATGTAAATTAAATGTAGGTTTATGGTTTTACAGCAGTGGAAGTGGACGTTGTCAGAGCTGCGTAGTTAGAGAAGTCTTAGTCTGAGAGAACAACTATAATCCTGCAGCCACACTTGTAATCAGGCTCTTGTGTAATCTGGACAAACTACCAATCTGTACCGTATAATCTCTCAATTTCTTTGGAGCAAACGTTCAACCTTATCACAATATTCATTTATTTAACAAGAACCTCCTGTGAGTTCCTGGACTCAGTGCTTCAGCTTTCTCACTGTGTTTTGTAGCAGTCCAGACATGTAGTATAACTTGATGTTATAGAGTCACTCCAGTATCAGCCATAAAAATATGATAGGAGTTTATGAGGCAAGCAATACAGGTCACGCAGCACTGTCAGCCTGGAATGTGGTATTGTTTATTTTAGTGGAGATATGATTTTCTGATTAAATGTGTGCTGATAATGGTACAAAGTTCCTGCATCAGTCATTTCTGAAAAACATAACTTTATCTCAGACTCTGGTGTCATAATATGCTGCATATATTATGACTTTTTAGAAACAACAAAGGGTTTCTCAGACCATTTAGAGGTTTTTTTAATGAGTTTGTGCAAAATAAATAAATAAAATATGATACTAAGCAGAGAGTCATTGATGTACGGTTCATGGCTAATATGATTATTGAAAGTTGGTTGACAGACGTCGAGCAGCAGTGCGTGATATAGTTAAAGAACCTGTCTTTCTAGTTCAGTGTTTACAGTAAGTGTCCAAATATGGAAGAGGCTTAGAGGAGAGATAGAATGTATATTTATAAGCTGCCGTGGTTAACCCCCCTACCACCACCCCCTTCCCTCATTGGTGTTAAGACACAATCTAGCGTTTGTTGTTCAGGAAGCACATCATAAATTTGGTTGCACAAAATAACTTTTGCATTGTGTTTGTGAGCGCTCTCAGCAGCGTCTGCTGTTTCTGTCATTCTCAGGATGCTTTCTGTGGCTTTCCAGGAGTTCAACTGCAGCCACATTTTGCATGGCAAAAACATTAAAATTATTTCCTGTGTCTCTACCTGGCTTCCTTTAACGTCGAGACTATTTACTTCCTCTTTTTCTTTTTTTCTTTTTTAATCTTTATTGTGTCTCAGAGCATCATGGTTAGCCATAAGGAGTTTGAAACTGCAGGGAAGAAGCCAGGGCTGCAGGTGTGGCGTATTGAGAACATGGACCTCAAGCCGGTTCCCAAAGCCCTGTACGGCTCCTTTTACACCGGAGATGCCTACCTGCTGCTCTTCACCACCTCAGCCCCATCATACAACATTCACATGTGGTTGGGTAAGACATGGATGCTGCAAACTGCAGTCTTGCAATTTACTGAAGCTTCTGCTTAGTTTTGTTTGATTGCACCAAAGCAGATCTAGTTGTTTTCATTCCAGTTTCATGATAAAGTATGATGTTTGGCATTTTCCTCAGCTACAAACTTAAGTGATATATTCAGAGTTTTAAAAAGTCACTTCCTCCAGAGCTGCTGCGTTTCCTTGCAATTTTTAGTACTTAAACTCACAAACAGACAGGTATGGCTTTGGGTTTAATGAGAGCAGATACCGTTGCTTCATCGTGAGCTTGCACCACAATAGCCTAGTTTTGGAAACTGCTTTAGGTTTTTAGATCTTAGACCTGAAACATCCTCCCTTGTGTGAGGAGCTTAAAGTAACAGGACTTTGAGAAATTCCTCTCGCCTGCACAGTTCCCTTTTTGTGGCTTAGAATTAAATTATGAGTGAACAGAACACTCAGTGATGTGCAACTTTAACCACCCTGAACGTTTTCTTTTTTCCTTTTGGTTGCATAACAAAAACAGACACATAAAACAAACTGCTGGATGACTCACATCTGGAATGCCCCTGCAGATCATTAGAGACGGGTACTAGTTTTTTGCAGGTTTGCGTAGTTCCCTGCCAGTCTGTGTCCAATGCCATCCAACCATCTGCAACACATTACAGTCTTTATAACACTGGAACACAATTAATCCTTCCGTCTGGGATCAGTGTTAGTCAGATAAAACTTGTGGAATAGTTTTATCCATGTTGTGTGCCATCTGACAGTAATAACAGGATACAGAGAGGCTCTGCTGCTCATGTGGTTTATGCGATTATAACCATGACTCCAGTCGTGACTCAGAGGGCGCATAAGGTTACTGCTTGCACTAAAGCGCTGCAGATTTCTCTGTAAGAAGCTTGAGTTTTGAGCGTGAATACGAAGCAGTTGCAGGACTGTTTCTAGAACTAGCCGGTTACAAACATGTGTTTTCTGCAGGGGATGAGTGTTCACAGGATGAGAGTGGAGCGGCAGCGATCTTTGCCTCACAGCTGGATGACTTCCTGGGTGGTGGCCCGGTGCAGTACAGGGAGGTGCAGAACTACGAGTCCAACACTTTCCTGGGTTACTTCAAGTCAGGCATCAAGTACCAGGTGAGCTTTATGGAAGTCGGGATCTTCATGCAAACTACAGGCGACTCTGGCAATCTGTGATTGAACAAAGCAATAAAAAAGATTTTTGCCAACCAGTCATAAGATACACATTTTGCTCTAACAACTGACAAATGTTGCCAAAGGGGTCACTGACTGGTCACCGCCAGCCACCGCCAGAAAAATTGAGCAACCACTCGTCAGCTCGGTGGGGAATACACATTTTTCCCCCAAGACCCGTGGTTTTAAGGGGCTGTGACTGGAGCCTTATTTGGTTTCCCCTGTATTATTTCTTCTTCTGTCGCACGTGCAAAATGGCAGACAAGTTAACGTCACACCAGGTTTCATTTTGACATGTCTCTGAAGAAACTTTGATAAGAAAAACAAGCATTATTTTGACCTGAAAATCATGCAAAGCTACACTAGCAGAGTCCAAAAAGTGAAGCTGGTAACGAGCAAGTAAATGACAGGTTCCAGTCAGCTATTAAAAGGCTATTGATAGGAGAAGAGGAACCGCTGGTTTAAATTAGTAACTAAATAAGGGACATTTCTGTAATGATTTCTTGAAGTTTTTTTTTCTGCTCCCAGTCTGCTATTAAATAACAGAACCATAAAAATATATAAGTCCTGTAAACAGTGAGAGGTGTGATGACTAATATTTTAAACATCGAACAGTGATCTGCTGCAGAACTCTGTTTGACTGAAACATGTCTGCAGTGTTAATGATTACCAGCGTCCTGTGAACTTTGCTGTTGAAATGAGCTGATGATCCTGAAGTTCAAAGAAATCATAGCATTCCCCCTTTTTTCTATATCTCTCTGATGGTGTGTCTGATGGACTGATTGATTATAACCTAGGCAACCAGCCTCTGCAAATAAGGATACTGAGAAACACAAGCTAAACCACTTTTAACAGCCATCTGTTTCTCATAACCCCAACCCCCCTTTGTGGCTTTAGTTAAATGTAATTAGCCCGAATGCTTGCTTACTACTTTTGTTGGAGAGTTCTGCTCTGCATATGTTGCAGAGTCCAAGCACACTGGCTGTGTTTGCGACACAGCGAAGCCGAAACAGAACCAAACCTCACATTCTCGACAGAGCTTTGGTAACTTCACTGTCAGTAAACTATTCTGACAATAAACAGAGCATGCGTTGTTGCCACGGAAAAAATTGCTACCATCTGACCAAGAACAGGATGAATGTGGTTTTCATTTGGTGGTCAAAGTAGCCACGCCCCCCGAGAGTCTAACAACACTCAGTCATCTGACCTCAGCAGCAGAGGATGAGTCACTGACTCTTCTGGGTGTTTTTTTTTTTTCAAAGTCTAATTTAAGCAAGTTTCCTTTGTTGTTGTTTTCACCCATATTTCAGTAAAAACCACTTTAGTCAAATTCCATTGGCTGTAAAGCTCTGGATACACAACAAACACAGCAGAGGAGGCAACAGTGGTGGCAGGCATTACACCGAGTAAGGTCAGAAAGAGCATACAAATGAGAAACTGGGGTGAGGAAGGTTGCAAAGTAGCTTGCAGAAGGATCACGTTGAGGAAAATCACATTATGAGATTTTTAAAAGTCTACAAAACACAAACGTTTAATTCAACTTCTATTTCAGTTCATTTTTTGTGTGGTTATAAACTGACAAGGATCATCATGTTGTTCTTCTCCAGCAGAGGGTATTTCTGTTCATTTGCATGTTTTCTAAATACTTGCTTTGTTTATTGGCTCTACCAAGGACGGCACATTACGTGATAATCCCATCCCCCAGGTACAACGGTGTTGCACACAACAATCTTCATTTTATCCTCAGTCATCATGTTAGTTTCTTTTCCGTCCATTGTCTTTGTTAACTCTGAGTGATGACATGTGGTTATGCCATTAATTGACCGCATGTCTTAAGGAACCAGTTGTTCCAGTTGTTCCTTAAGATTTTACAGTCCTGTGTTAAACTCATTTCATCGTCAGCTGACTCCACACGTCTTCCCCTTGAACATTTGTGACTCACCTGGTCATTTGGCCCGTGTGTAGTAGTTGTAACTAAAACTGCAGCTCAGGTGTAAAGATAGCTCATCTTCTCTTAAATCAGCTCATCCCCCGCATTTCTTAGATTTGAAAGACTATTCACAGGATAAAACTTAACGCAAATCATCATTGGATTTCACAGAAAGGAGGTGTGGCCTCAGGTTTCAAACATGTAGTGACCAACGGCGTGGATGTAAAACGCCTGCTGCACGTTAAGGGGCGCAGGGTCATCAGAGCAACCGAGGTCAATATGTCCTGGGACAGCTTCAACAAAGGAGACTGCTTCATCATTGACCTGGGAAAGGTGAGCTGTTTCTTTTATTTGTGTGTGTGTTTGCTACTGTATATACAGAGTGCAGTTTAACCTCTACAGTTTCTGTGAAATAGTTAAGGCTTTCACATCTTTAAACCTCCTTTCCTGGGTTCTCCCCTCCTGCAGGACATCTATCAGTGGTGCGGCAGTGAGTGTAACCGTTTCGAGCGGCTGAAGGCCTCCGAGGTCACCATCGACATCAGGGATAATGAGAGGAACGGCAGAGCCAAAGTGCATATGGTGGAGGAGGGGGGCGAGCCGGCTCCCATCATAGAGGTCAGACACGCACATTCCTCACTTGTCTCCCTCTTCTAGCAAATGTCACCACACTTTAACCTCAGAGGTGATCACTTGAGAGCAGGAGCTTTAAGTGCAATTAATGCATTCGACTGCCACGGAGTTAGTCAGTGTGGGAACAATGCTGCCCTTTGTAAGTGCTGCTCATACGCCAGCTCTGTGCCAGGGCAGCTTAGTAAACAGTTCCTTTACAACAAGATGCCTAATGAGATAGAGAGAGTTAGGGGAGGGCTGGTTTAACGAGCATACTTTCAATTTATAGAGATATATTTTTTTATCTGAATAAAGCTGTGTTTATATTTGCACTAAAAAGCATTTAATCAGTGTTAATGATGATAAACATTTAGTGATTAATGCCTTTGCTTACTGTTCAGGTTCTAGGACCAAAAACCTCCATCGCCCCCAGTATTCCGGATGACGACAAGGTGGAGACTTCCAACAGGAAGAAGGCTGCCCTCTACATGGTGAGAAACACAATTGACAGTCAAATAAATGTGAACACCCTGACTTTGATACAAGGGTGGAAAGATTTCATAGCGAAAAAAAGAAATTTCATCTTATAATTATAAAATAAAATCAGAATCAGTACCTGATGGGGCCTCTTTCCTTTTCTTTTAGATCTCAGATGCATCTGGCTCTATGACGATGTCGTCTGTGGCTGCATCCAGTCCCTTCAAACAGGCCATGCTGTCTCCAAAGGAGTGCTACATCCTGGACAACGGGGTGGACAAGACCATCTTTGTGTGGAAAGGTGCAGCAAAACATTTTTGTGATAACACTTCTAACATTCTTGTGCTTTTTTCTTCTTCTTTTTGCACAAATTCTAACAAAGAAATGATTGGAAAGCGCGTGTTTACACCTTTTTGGTCTCTCTGATTAAGGCTACACATGTGAAAGAGGTATATTTAAATGCTGCTGGTTTTATTTTTGGCACTGCTGAACAATAACAGGAAGTCTACAGCAGTAATTTTGTGTTTTATGACTGCACTGCAATTTGCCTCTTTACGTAAATATCCGCAGATATTTCTCACTCTGAATAACATAAAGGTGAATTACACCTCCTTTGTTTTATCTGATTCTAACAGGCCCTCAGGCCACTGTGTCGGAGCGTAAAGCAGCCATGGCTGCAGGTCAGAAGTTCATCACTGATAAGGGATACAGCAAAAATACAACGGTAAAGCCAACATGTACTTAGTAACTTAGACAAAAAAAAAACCCCAATTGTAAATCCCACAGTGCAGCTAACCGTAAAGCCAAATCTCTGTTTGACTTGCAGATCCAAGTACTTCCTGCAGGTGGCGAAACGTCTCTCTTTAAGCAGTTCTTTTCCGACTGGAGGGATAAGGATGAGACCACAGGTCCCAGTAAGGCCTACACTATTGGCCGCATAGCCAAAGTGGAGCAGGTTCCCTTTGATGCCTCCACCCTACACACAAACAAAGCCATGGCAGCGCAGCACGGCATGGTGGACGATGGCAAGGGCAAAGTCCAGGTAGGAGGGTGTTAAAAAGTGAAACAATAGCACAGATAAACACAGCTGTGAGGTTTTGTTTTTTTTTTAAAGATTGGGTCTGGTGTTCTAGATCTGGCGTGTCGAGGATGGTGCAAATGTGCCCGTGGATCCCTCCTCCTATGGTCACTTCTATGGGGGCGACTGTTACCTCATCCTCTACAGCTACAGACAGGGATCACGGGAGCAGCACATCATATACACATGGTGGGTAAAACAGCAAAACATGTATAAAGCGTATAATCTCTTTAAATTAGTATGAAGTAAAAGCTGTGGCAGAGTGTGCCACACCCTGTCTAAGATCTCTCTCTCTATCTCACACACTCACACACACAAACGCACGAGTTAATGACGTGGTTCAGACTGTGTTGGTGCTACTGTGTCAGGCAGGGGCTGAAGTGCACACAAGACGAACTGGCCGCTTCGGCGTTCCTCACAGTGAAGCTGGATGACTCAATGGGAGGAGCCCCAGTTCAGGTTAGAACCTGACCCACTACACACCTCAACATCACATGCACTAAACAAGTGTGTGTAATCACAGAAAGACCCTGTAATGTAATGTATGACTTAGAAATGTTAAAGAAACAATCTAAATAATGTGAGCAGTTATTGTATTAGTGTAATTTTTCTCCCTAAATGACTGACATGAACAGATAAAGGTGATATGAGAGCTTATGGCTCTCAAACTAACCTTAATACGTACATATAACATTTACCTTTCTTTGAATCTACTCATCACACTTCCCACATAACTAGTACGCACCATTTTTAACTTATGGGCTGTGTAACGACGACTAAAACAAATATTTTCTGCCTGTCTTCCGATACTTCAAATTTATTAACTATTACAGAGGATTTAGTGTAGCTGATGAAAACTAATTGCTTCATAAAGATCCCATAAGAAAGAAAAAAACACCCCCCAGGATAACCAGCAGAGGGCAGTGTTTCTATAATTTTTATTTTGATCCCATCCAACCTGCAGCACGTTAAGGTGCCATAACTACAAGAACTGCATTAAAATGTGTTAGTGCTGGTTATACATCAAACTCTCAGCAATACTGGAGACGTTAAGACATGTTTTAAGCTGATTTTCTCACACAACCATGCCAACACAGCTGATATCATTGAGTATTTTCTTTAAAAATAAACTAAAGTATTTAAAATATTAGATAATAATCACGCTATATTGCTATTTAGTTAAAATTTTTCAAATTTTTTTCAGTTGTGTTGCATTTATATAAAAATCACTTAGCTGAAACTCAATTTAATTATAGTGAATATCAAGTGAGCATTGATCTATTTCAGTCTTGTTATTCCTGCACATAGTGATACGGAACCTTGGATTACCACTTCACTTTGGTGTTGGTAACCCTAAGAACAAAATCTGTAGCTAAACTGGAATAACTGGATTAGTCATTGCCTTTGCTGGTGAATTTTGTTAATACCCACAGGTGAGAGTGTCACAGGGTCAGGAGCCTCCCCACCTGATGAGCATCTTCAAGGACAAGCCAATGATCATCCACAGTGGGGGAACGTCACGCAAAGGTGGACAGACGAAAGCCGCCAGCACTCGCCTCTTCCACATCCGGCAGAGCTCCTCCAATGCTACCCGTGCGGTGGAGGTAAGCTTGTTTGCAACACACTGTATGTGTGTGTGTGTGTGTACAAGAGAGTTCTTATTTGCTCCTCTCACTTGTGTGGTTCCTCAGGTCCAAGCTACTGCCTCCAATCTGAACACCAACGATGTTTTTGTGCTGAAAACGCCAAGTGGCTTGTTTGTGTGGCGTGGCGTGGGCGCCAGCGATAAAGAGATGGAAGCAGCCAAGCATGTGGTGGCTTTCCTGGGTGGTAGTCCCAGCAATGTGTCAGAGGGCAAGGAGCCAGGTGAGTCCCCAACATAAAACAAGTGAGAACTTTCCTTGTTTATTGCTCAAAGAAACTAACTCTGCGCCTTTTCTTTTATTTATCTGAAGATAAAAAAAGGAGGTATTTTATGGGA